AAAACAGAGGCTAGAGGCTGAGTAAGGAACTAAGGTTTCTTGAAAGCTCCAAAATCCAAGGGGGTTGAGAACAGATGTGGAAAGAAGGAAGCCAAAGCAGCAAGTTCAAGACTTTCATTTAATTAGAATTTACTGGGGCAGCTAGGTGGTGCAGTGGATAGAGTGCCGGCCCTGAAGTCAGGAGGACCTGAGTTCAAATCCAGCTTCACACCAAACACTTGAAACTACTAGCTGTGTGACCCTGGGCAAGTCACTTAACCTCAATTGCCTAAAAATTAAAAAAAAGAATTTACTAAGAATGTGAGTGGAATTATCGTTTGCCTAAAGCAATCTGCCTTCTAAACTTCAGTGTTTTATGGCAGCATGCATTTCATGGCCCCTTTCTGTGTTGACATATTAGTATGATCATAAGCTGAGTCCAATGGATCCCCTCCTGATTAAGTTGCACCAGTGATGTTGTGGATGCAGACACCATCGCTAACTCTAGCATGATTCCTCAGACGTCAAGATTGTGGCTTGGTGGGATAGTGCTCGTGGAAGTGCTCTGTCAGCTTTAGAGGATATATACCATATGCCAACTCTCATATCCTTTCCTCAGGCCTGCATCCTTGTCAGTCTATTAGGCTACTAAAGGTGACCATATCACTTTTGTCAACCAAGGATAACCTGTATAATCTATTGCCCATCCAAAATTAACATCACTGTGCAAAAGCTTCATGGGGGGTATTTTTTGGAGTTGAGGTGAGCTCATAAAAAACAAGAATGAGTAGAATATAGAATGACTAAGGAATAATGGAGGTATCCCCAGCAGGCCACAGGACTTACTGTTTGGGGTGAAAGCTTGTTCACAGAACCTGATTAACAAATAACTTCTATGTCCATTTTTGCAAAGGTAAGTGAGGTGATCAATTGCTTCAAAACCTGTAAGGTCTATATAATCATGGAAAAGACTGTGTTCTTCCTAGCCCAGAATCAGCACAATGTGTATATTCATATGTAGTTGGTTTTATTTTTATTGAGTGACTTCCACAAGGATATATTTTACACCAGCCAAGTCACTAAGACATGGCTACCTTTGGCTTCCTGCTATGGGCTAATTCTATTCCTCAGGAGATCTATCTCCTGAGTGAGTCACATACCAAAACCTCAAATCTCAATCTCTCTCTCTGTATATATATATATATATATATATATATATATATGTATGTATATGTATGTATGTATGTATGTATGTATATGTATGTATATATGTGTATATGTATATATATATACACACACACACACATATATATACACGTGTGTGTGTGATTTTGTTACATTGTGACAAGTGATACATTGTCCTTCCGTAGGCAAGTGAAGATAGAAGACAGAAAATGAGTAGAGTAAGACAGCTAATGCTCATATAGCACCCCATGGGGAATCCACCAATGTGCATGCAGCCCACAGGGATCACGAAATATCTCTTGAAGAGGTCTGCTCCAAATATTGTTGGAGCCCCAAGTTATCTGGAGCTCATGCTCCAGTTTACAGAGGGGGTGGGCATTGGGATGAGGATGAGTTTGAAGGGTATTAGCAAAGCCCTGTCTCATCACAAAGGGGCTAACATTTGCTAGTGATTGGAGCAATCACTGGCGCTGAGAGAAAATCTTCTTCCTGGAAGGTTTGAATCAAGCATAAACCAGAGTCAAACCCGGTTGGGAACTAGTTTCTTGGGAATGTCAAAATTCAAGGGCTATATAAACAGATACAGGAAACAAAGGACTGGAGGAGAGATTTCAAGCTAGAGAGAAGTTTATTTTTACTTAGGAGTTAAGCTAAGAAGGAAGGAAGGAGAGAAGGAAGGAAACAAATAAACTTTACAAATATTGTCTTTTTTTTTTTTTTGGCTAGGCAATGGGGTTAAGCAACTTGCCCAGAGTCTCAAGCTAGTATTATGTGTCTGAGGCCAGATTTGAACTCAGGGCCAGTGCTCTATTCACTGTGCCACCTAGCTGCTCCTACATATATTATCTTGCTTAGTCTTCACAACTACTCTGGGAGATAGGTTCTAGTATGATTCACATTTTACAGTTGAGGAAATTGAGGCAGACAGAGATTTTCCTAGGGTTGTAAAACCAGCAAATGTCTGAGTTTAGAGTATGTGACATACTTACTGAAGGAAAATTTATCTTTCCCTTCCATGATTTTAAAAGCAGCTGAAGCACAGGTTGTATATTTCTCTTTCTGATTTCATGAATTATAAGGATCAATTTAAGGAACTGCTCATATTTAGCTTGTAGAAGAGAAGATTCAGGGGAACACGATAGCTATCTTCAAGTGTTTGAAGGGCTGTCATGTGAAATAGGGATTAGACCTGTTCTGTTTGGTCCCAGAGCAAGGACTGAAGGTCATAAAGAGGCAGATTTAGGCTTGGGATCAGGAAAAGCTTCCTAGCAATTAGAGCTATCCCAAAGTGGAATAGGCTCCTGGAGAAATGGTGGTTTTCCCCTCCTTGGAGGTTTTTGAGCAGAGGCTGGATAGCACTTTCTTAGGTATGTTATGGTGGGGGTTCTTTTTATGGATGGGTGGACTAAATGTCTGTTGAGTTCCCTTCCATCTCTCAAATTCTGTGATTCTGTGCATTTTCCTTCTGGGTCAAAGGAAATCAGCGAGGAGGTAAGAATTTTAAAGGGAAATGGGACAAAAGTTATATTTGGAGATTTTCCCAGATTTCTGAGTAAGGGAAAGCTAGCTAATTTGTGATAAATTTATAAAATATTGCATGAGAATGATTTTGCATCTTAAGTACTAGACTGAGTCAAGGGCAACTTGTGCCAAAGCACTAGGAAGTAGGGCTCCTGGGCATTGATGCTCAACTACTTGCTTTTCCTCCTCCTATGCTCAGGGAGGGGTAAGTGCTTCAGTATAGAGGGAGGCCCCCTTAGGGTATGGTTAACTGTATCAGATGACAGCTCCTTTTCATGGGGAGAGAGGGCAGGCAGGTGGTATATATGTCTTAATTCCATCTACATGTTGGGCTTCTCCTTATTCAATCATGTTGCCCCCAACTTTCTATCTTATCCACAGTGATAACCTTGAAAGACTTTGTGATGTTGGTTCCATTTTCTTAATCTACCTGCAATTTAGTAATACTGTTAAAAAAGGAAAGGTTAGCTTGAAATGAAATTGTCTTGTAACGGTGCTTGACCCTTACTCAGTCAATGACTCAATCAACCAATAAGCATTTATTAAGTGCCTGAGGTGAGCCTGTCATTGCGTTAGTCTCTGAGGATACAAAAACAAAAGTCCCAGCCCTCCAAGAACTTTCACTCTACAAATGGGGATGCATGTGCAAAAATAGGCATTTGTGAAATATATACAAAATAGACACAAGAACTTTTTTGAAGGGAGAATCAAGAAAGCTTTAATAAAGAAGGTGGTGCTTGAGCTGAGCCTTAGAGGAAACTAAGGATTCTAAGAGACAGGCGTGAGAAAGAAGTGCATTCCAGTCATGGGGGACAGCCATTGCCAAGGCACAGAGATGAGAGATGGAGTGTTGGGTATGAGGAACAGTAAGAAATCCAGTTTGACTGAATCATAAAGTGTATGAATGGGAGTAACATATAATAAGGCTAAAAAGGTAGATTGGGACCGAGTTGTGAAGTGCTTTAAATAACAAATTAGGGAGTTTGTATTTGATCCCAGAGGTAATAAGGAGCCACTGGAGTTTATTGAGTAGATGAATGACATATTCAGACCTGTGTTTTAGGAAAAGTCACTTTGGCAGCTATATGGAGGAAAGAATTGAAGTGGGGAAATAATAATCACTTCCCTTCTTAAATGCTCACAAACTATTAATAAAAGGTTAATAAAAGGTTCTCAAATGGTGTAGAATCACAGGACTTGGAAATGGAAAGGGCTTGGGACAGCTAGGTGGCACAGTGGTTAGAGCCACCAGCCCTGAAATCAGGAGGACCCGAGTTCACATCTGGCCTTAAATGCTTACTATGTGATCCTGGGCAAATCACTTAACCCCGATTGCCTTCCCTTCCCTCACCCCTCAAAAACCCCTAAAAGGAATGGAAGGGATCATTGAGATCATCAAGCCCAGCCCCCTTACTTTATAAACAAGGAAACTAAGACCAAAAGAGGTGAAATGACCTTCCTAAAGTCAAAGAGACATTTAATGGCAGTGCTTTATAGTTGGAAAAATCCATTTTGTTTTTCTGATTTTTTATAGTGAAGAGTGAAAGCCTGAAATCTGCTATCAGTAACCAAAAGGTTGTAAGGAGGGAGGGAAGGTGACAGGACTGGACTGAACAGACTAGCAGGTAGAGTAGGTGTGTATCTTGTTCCAGAAAAAGAGGGCAAGACTTGGATGGCAGCTTTGGGAGTGAGTGAAGACAGATTTATCAGACCATGAGTACTGACTTTCCCATCTTTTGACTCATCATCTGCCTTTCCCTGGTCACTCACCAGGTTTTGGTGAAGCTTCAGAGATGACTTAACATAAATCACTGAAAATGACTGTCCTTCAAGTGCCATCCTCCATAGTGCCCAGAGAGGAGCAGCTTAAGGAGGAATGCAATAAATTCATTGCTTTGAGGTTGTTGTCTTCTGAAGTGACACACCTAGCTAGCCAATTCCTTTTGTTCCTCTGTCTACCTTAACCTCTCATCTATTCCCTATTGCCTGGTCCCTCATTTGCTTATTCCTTTTCTCAGTCCTTCTCTTCCTTTTCTTCCCTCTCCATCCCTGATCTTACTATTTAGAAGTGACTTTAGACCAGAAAAAAAAGAAAAACAATAATCTAATGAACAACTGTAGAGATGGAGATGCCCCTTTCAGGTCCATCTATGCATAAGATAGTGAGGTCAGGGAGTGGTGTGAGTGGGCGTGGGGAGCTATTGAATCCCGGCTTGGAGTTGAAATGTTTTCCAGGGACCTTAATGACAAGGCAATCGTCTAGTTGGGGTTCTGCTGTTGTCATATATCAGCAGGGGAGTGGCTTACAGAGCAGGTTGCCTCTGAAGTCAGAATGAAGTGGTGTAGCTTTTGTGGGAAGAGCCCAGCAGGTTGGTGGCAATCACTTACTCCTAGTTGAGATGTTCTGTCAGGGTGAGGTCCAGAGATCAACTGGGTCAACTCTCTGTTGTCAAAATATTTAAAGTTCCCAGGGGATGAGAAATGTGTTCTGAGTGACACTTTCCTGAGAGAAAGGAGGATTCCAGAGTCTGAATCCTGAAGCTCCTCTCAACATGGATTCAAAAAGTCCTTCGCACTTGGGTCCCAAGTACCTCTACGTTAGTCTCTGGGACTTTGAGGCACGGACAGAGGATGAGCTGAGCTTTCAGGCTGGGGACCTTTTTCACGTAACAGAGAAGAAGGAAGATTGGTGGAAAGTGACAAAACTTGATGCTGCTGGAAGGAGACTGGGGGAAGGCTACGTCCCTCACAATTACTTAGCTGAACAAGAGACGATGGAGACAGAACTGTAAGTAAGAGCCAACTGAGGGAAGGAGCCTGGACTCATTCGTCTCTTGGAATGTCACATTAGTTGCTTGTGGATCCCATTCTGGGAAGTAGCTTCCAGTAAGGTCCTTAGTTACTCCTTTAGCATTGGCAATGTGGCTTAGGATCATAAGATCATAGATGTAGTGCTTGAAAGGCCATTTTCTAGATGAGGAAACTGAGTTTCAGGGAGGTCCAAGGGTCACACAGGTAGTAAACATCAGAGGAAGGATTTGAACTCAGGCCTTCTCATTCCAGAGCTAGTGCTTAGTTTCTATAATTACCAATCTCAGAGAAGTGGATCAGGTCCCACTAAAAATCCTAGAGCATCTTAAAGGAAAAGCCAGAGAAAACCTGAAAGTAGTTGTTGTAGTGACCTATGGGGCTTTCCTTGGCATGTAGGGAGGGCTTTTTGAAGGTGGTGGGTATATGGTGGGGTGGGGCTATTTCCACCCCAAGTGGAAAAAGATTCAGGCACTCCAGGGTCTGCTAGTTTGCTGTTCTTCTTGGTTACTTTCTGCCATCCCAAGGAATTACTGTGCATATTGCTGCACAACACTTGGCACCACTGTCTGTACCTCAAAGAGCTGTGATTTCACTAGCCTGGGTGCTCCCTTCACCAGTATAGATTATGACTCCTCTTTGCCTCAGCAGGCAGCTTAAACAATTGTAGTGGCCAAACAAATTCATTAAAGTTATCGCTATAGTATCATTACTGATTTGTCTGCAGCCCAATCCTCTTTGCCATAAACAGAAATGAAGGTTAAAAAAAAAAAAAGCCTGACTGTCTTTTTCACAAGAGGCAATATCATATACTAGATGCTGGATCTGGAACTAGGAAGGGCTGGGTTCAAATTCTGTCTCTGATATTTACTAACAGCATGACCATAGGCAAATCACTTAACCTTTCTGAACCAAAGACAAGGCTCCATGTTACAGTCATAAATTTCACAGTGCAAAGTAGAGCAAGGTCTGATTCTTTTAGGGCTTAATCAATTGCTTATAGTTTTGTATTTGGGTCTGGGAGGAGATGGGATTAGGAGCTTTGGGAATTCCTTGTTCAGAGAAGAGTGGGTAAACCACTAGCCCAACTCTATTGTCATTCAGTCATGGTGGCCCAGGCTTCCTGGAGAAGGACAACACAGAATCAGTTGGTATTAATTTCTGAGTGGGTGAATAGGGGCAGTTTGAGATAGAGAGAAATCCTGCATTGACTTTTCAAAGTGCAGAGAAAGAGGGACATTGCAGGACTCACTTTCAAAACAACCACAAACTGGAATCTCAACCTAGTTAGTGGGGGAGGGAAATAGGATTGCAACACCTTCCAGCTCTGCAGGGTGGAGGAGCAGGGCAGAGAAGGCTGTGTTGCCAAATATGGACAGCTGTTCAGGTGGGTGTCCTCTGTTGGGTTTTCCCCTCCTACGTGGCTTCTTCAGAACTTCTGAGGAGCCAGTGCGCCACTGGCAGTAACAAACTGATGGAAGATGTTGGCCCAGCTACACTACTGCCCTCAAGTATATCCAAATTAATTAGAGAATGAGCAGCTGGGCATTTGAGCTTGTGTTATGTAATTTCATGGCTGGTAGTTATGGTTTGGAGATGAGACCTTGGAACAAAATAAGTTTCCTGTTTCCTTTCCCATTCTCCCCTACTGCAGTCTCCACTAGTGAGTATGTATACCCAAAGAACACCGATGACCTGAGCTATGACTTCTTTACAATCCTCTTGGCATCATTTGTTTTCTCTAACATTTGAGCCAGCTGAACATTTATGAAAGAAACTCACTTTGACAGTTTGAGAACGCAGCTCCTAGAGATTCCGTTGAATGCCTTCCACTCTCAGGGAATAGGGGATGTCAGTAGGAAGGCAGAAGTTTCCATGAAACTGGCCTAGAGATAAGAGCTGAACAACTGTGCAGGTAGTACCATCCAGAGATCAAGGAGGTAGCACAAGCAGTTAAAAGGTAGGTGGAGGGGCAGCTAGGTGGAGCAGTAGATAGAGCTCAGGCCTTGGAGTCAGGAGGACCTGAATTCAAACCTGGCCTCAGACACTTGACACTTACTAGCTGTGTGACCCTGGGCAAGTCACTTAACCCTGATTGCCTCTCCAAAAAAAAAAAAATGGGTGGGGGAAGGTTGGTGGGATGAATGTGCTGAGACTGTGAAACCATGGCAGTATATTTTCCCTAGCTCATGGTCCCAAATTGTACTTTGAGGTTATTCCTAAGACTTGAAGACTAGTGATATATCTTAAGGGGCTAGTAACTAAGAAAGCAACACTCCCATAGTCAGAGAGTATACATATTAATGCTCTCCCCTCTCCACCTCCAAGTCCCAAACCCCATGTGTCAGGGGAACTTTTATGACATTTTACCTCTCCTTACTGTCCCTATCCCACTGATTCTGTGCTAAAGGCCTTATTTTCCCCCTCACAATCTTTGATAACTTATTCCTATAGTTTTTCAATCAATTCCCCTTGAAGTGTAATCTCTTCCAGGAGTTATATGGTTCTTGGGTAATATTAAATAATTATATTAATTAATATATTAAATAATTATATTAATTAATATATTAAATAATTATATTAATTAATATATTAAATAATTAATATACCGCAAGTTTCCCTTCCTCCCTAGCTCTGCCCTAATGTAGCTTTGCTGTTTCAGCTTACATGGAGTAGAAGAAAATGAAGGGGGTGGGTAGAAATCACTCTATGTGGTACTGTTTCTAGGGCCATCTCAAGCCAGGGGCAGAATTAGGTGACTAGTGGTGAACAATAAAGGCTTAATAAATACTGGTTAAATTAAATTGAATTGATGTCACAACTTCTCCAGACCAAGTCACTGCTGCTGCCCCTGCTTCCCTGTAAGCCACTAGGGTTGCTCCTGGGCTGTTGTTTTATCATTCTAAGTCATTCTATGACTATGGCATAATGGATGAAGGATCAGAGATCCCTCACTCAGAGGGAGCACAAATGACCTTTCTGTGGACCAGGACATTCCTGAGGATTTGGTGTTAGGACACTATTTTTATTTCTTTCTTGCAGATGGTTTTTTGGGCAGATCTCTCGTTCAGAAGCTCTGCATAGGCTCCTTGCAGAAGAGAATGGAACTGGCACCTTCCTCATCAGGATCAGTGAGAAGACAGGAGCAGACTATGTTCTCTCAGGTAAAACTCTCTTCTTTTTCTGATAGAATAGGCCGCTGACTTGCTGATTTCCCTCTGAAAGTCTGCAGAACTTTATTTGGCCTTACTATTTGTCTGTTGACCTGGGACATCCCCACTGCCACAATCCACCTCTCCTTCTGCATCCTTATGCCCTCTCCCTTTAATGGGACTTTTTACCTTGACCATGGAGGATCCTTCTCCCTCCCACTAATGGTAAAATCTAGGACAGTATGTTTCCCAAGACCAACTGGGCTACCTTAAACATGGTATTGGGCTTGGGCAATTTGAATCTTGGCTCTGTCACCTCCTGGCCATGTGATCTCAAGCAAATTATTCCAATATTCTGAGCCTCAGTTTCCTCCTCTGTATCTCTTCCAGATCTAACACTCTACGAGTTTCATATTGCAATTTAAGATTTGGAGTCAGGGACCAAAGTTCAAATCCTGATTTTTCCATTTAATACATCTGTGAACTTGGGCAAGTCATCTCACTTCCCTTGGCCTTAGTTTCCCCATTTATAAAATGAGGGGGTTGGACTGGATGACTGAGATCATTGAGATAGAACTGGAGAGGGGCAGCTAGGTGGCGCAGTGGGATAGAACTCCATCCTTGAAGGCAGGAGGACCTGAGTTCAAATTCAGCCTCAGACACTTGACACTTAACTAGCTGTGTGACTCTGGGCAAGTCACTTAACCCTGATTGCCTCACCAAAAAAAAGAGAGAGAGAGAGAGAGACAATTGGAGGAAGTAATGAAATTCTGCTGACTGGGGCTACTATACATGTTTGTTAATTAATCTCAATTGGGCCCCAAGAGCAGCAATGCAATCTTACTACTCCTCCCTAATTGTTTCCCTATCCCCACTCACCACACAGTAGTGGTGGTTCCAGACCTTTTCTTTTGTCTTTTTTTCCCCTTAGGTAATTGGGGTTAAGTGACTTGCCCAGGGTCACACAACTAATAAGTGTCAAGTGTTTGGTCTGAGGCCAGATTTGAACTCAGGTCCTCCTGACTTCAAGGCTGGTGCTCTAGCCATTGTGCTTCCTAGCTGCCTCTTTCTTTTGTCTTTAAGCTCCTTCTCTACATCTTATCTCCTAAGGACTTCAACTCACACACATCTTCACAGAAAAAAAAATTGAGATCACTTGCTGAGAGCTCCTTCTCTCTCCCTTCTTGATCTCATCTCTCTAATAGCATCGACCATTATCTCTTCCTTTATTCCAGGATGAAATGATGAGGTAGCTCTTCTATTAGCAAAGGCTAACCTTACTACGTGCATCCTTGATCTCCTTCCCTCCTATCTTATCCAGTAAATTACCCCCACCATCATTCCCACTCTCTAATCTAACAACTCTGCCTATCTACTAACTCCTTTTCTGCCTACAAACTTTCCCAAATCTCTCCTATCCTTTAAAAACCCTCGCTAGATAATGCCATGGTCACTAGTTACCATCTCTTCTATCTCAGCTAAACTCCTTGAAAAAGCCATCTACAGCAGGTGTTTCCACTTCCTTTACTCTCACTCCCTTTTAAGCCTTTTGTAATCTGGCATTCAGTTTCATCATTCAGATGAAGTTATCAATTGCAAATCTTGACCCTGGTCCTTCTTAGCCTTCCTGCAGCATTTGATACTGTTGACCATCTTTTCCTCCTGGATACTGTCTCATCTCTAGGCCTTCATGACATTATTCTTTCCTGGTGCCCATCTTACCTGCCTGATTGCTCCTTTTTCAGTCTCTTCTCTTGTGTCTTCACCCTTGTCAAGCCTACTAAAGGTAGGTGTCCCCTAAAGCTCTGCCCTGGGTCCTGTTCTCTTTTTTCCTCTATACTCTATCATATATTGATCTCATCATCTTCCAAGGGTTCAAAGATCATCTCTATGTAGATGATTCTATATATCCTGCCTTAGGCTCTCTCCTGAACACCATTCCTATATCAACTATATTAACCTTATAGACATCTCAAATTCATGTACAAAACGTAATTAATTTCCTTTTCCCTAAACCCTTTCCCCTCTTCTGATCTTCCCTTGTACTATCAAGGGAGACCACCTTTCTCCCAGTCACCCAGGTTTTTGACCTAGGCGTCATCCTCAACTCCTCACTTTCTCTCACCACTTCCCCCACATCCAAAAATCTATTGCCAAATATTGTAATTTCTTTCTCTACAATATCTCTCACACATGTTTCCTTCTCTCTGTTCATACAACTACAACATTAGTTCAGGCCTTTGGACTGTTGCAATAGCCTTAAAATAATTTTCTCTTCTGCAGATATCTCCCCACTCCAATCCATCTTCTACTCAATTGGCAAAGTGATTTTCCTAAAATTCGGGTCTGACCACGTCAGCTTCCTGATCAATAAACTCTAGTGGCTTTTTATTACCTTGAGAACCAAGTGTAAAATCATTTGTTTGGCATTTGAAGCTCTTTACCACCTGACCTTATCCTCCCTTTCCAATTTTCTTACATCCTACCCTTCACTATTCTGCTATCTAACCATGTTTGCCACCTTGCTATTTCTTGAACGTGACACTACATCTCTAGACTCCAACGGCTATTTCCCACGAATAAAATGTTCTCCCTCCCACCTTCCTAGAATCCCTAACTGCCTTTAAGACTCAGATCAAGCACTACCCCCTCCAGGGGGCTTTTTCTGGTCTTCCCAGCTACTAATGCCACCCTTGCTAAGGTTACTATCTATCTATTCTCTATTTATCTTCTATGTTCTGGTTTACATATGTTGTCCCCCTCCATTTGAATGTAAGACTCTTGAATACAGAGACTATTTATTTATTTATTTATTTATTTGGTGAGGCAATTGGGGTTAAGTGACTTGCCTAGAGTTACACAGCTAGTGAGTGTTATGTCTCTGAGGCCAGATTTGAACTCAGGTCCCCCTGACTCCAGGGCCAGTGCTCTATCCACTGTACCACCTAGCTGCCCCCACAGAGACCATTTTTGCTCTTTCTTTGTGTTTCCAGCACTCAACACAGTACCTGGCACATAGGAAATATCTGCTAAATGGTCACTTGATTGATGACCTCTGAGGTCTCTGCCAGCTGTAAATTAGTGATCCTCTGAATCTATGCTCATTTTAAGCTTCTGTGAGTTCAAAATGCTTGGGATTAAAAAGTGAGATCTAGGCCTGTTGTTTTAGCCTTGGTATCTTCCCTGATTAAATATGTTGGGTATTCCTTAAATTCTAATTTACTAGATAAGATAGGAGGGGAGGAGATCAAGGATGCATGGAGTATTTTAAGCTAGGTGGTGATAGAGCACTGGGCCTGGAGTCAGGCAAGGTTATCTTCCTGAGTTCAAATCTGGCCTCAGACACTTACTAACTATGTGACCCTGGACAAGTCACTTAACCTTGTTTGCCTCAGTTTCTTCATCTGCAAAATGAGTTGGAGAAGGAAATGGCAAAGCATGCCAGTATTTTTGCCTAGAAAAGCCCAAATGGGGTCTTAGAGTCAGATATGACTGAAAATGACTGAACAATAACAAAATTCTAGGGAAGCTCTGGCACCTCCCATGGTTAACTCATATTCAAAATGAAATTAATACAAAGGATTATAGGAAGTCCATAAGCTGTTCTTGAAGGAAGCTAGGGAATCTGGGAGGTCAGAGAACAGGCATGAGAAACCATTTATGTGAAGTTAAAAAGGCAGAAGATAGAATGTCATATGCAAGGGACCGTTAGCAAGCCAGACTGAAGAAATGGAAGGGAATATTCATATTACTATATGAATTAAGACTGGAAAGATAGGTAGAAGCCAGATTGTGCCAAGCTGAGTATTTGGTATTTTATCACAGAGACAATAGGAAGCCAGTGGGAATCACTGGTTTTTTTTTTTTTAGTAGGGGGTGACATAATCAGATCTGTGTTTTAGGAATATCAATTTAGCAGCTAGGCGGGGGATGGAATCTTCCCTGAGATATTGGCCCTGCCCTCCTAGAGCTCACAATCACTTTGTCTCATAGCATACTGATGAAGAAGATATGAACCAAAATATATTCGTGATGTGAAAATGAGGAGAATGAGAGGCTAAGTAATTTTCCAATTCATACAGAACCTGGGAGAGAAGCTCCAACCTCTTCCACACTTCTGGACACAGAAAATGAAAGGCCTTTCCTTTTATGGATGGGAAATACACTCCCTTGGAAAAACATGCAGCCCCTGTGGGCACTGGTTTGAATCTGTGCTTGTCTGCCAGTCCTGGATTTGGGGAGCTCTCCAATTTTCAAGAATGACTTCTGTATATGTACCTTTTTTTCTCCTTTTCCCTCTTCTGGATTTCACAGTTCGGGACAACCACATTGTGAGACACTACAAGATTTGGAGGAATGCTGAGGGGAGATACCACATGAATTCAGCTATGTCCTTCCCTGATCTTGCTGGCCTAGTGGAGTATCACAAAAGTAAGACTCTGTCCCATGGCCTGAGGCTTGCCACACCCTGCTGGAAGGTAAATTGAGGTCTGGATCAGGATTCTATTCCAATTCTTGACTGGGAGGACCACCTCCCCCTGCCAGGCTATGAGTACCCAGAATGGGCCTTGGCACTTTTAGAACTTTTATGGTAAACCATTTGCCTCCAAGCTTAGCCATAGTGTCACAGGTCCTCAGTCAGTCCAGCTAGATTTGCAAACCTTTCCTGAGATGTACTTTCTACCACCAACCCTCGCCTGCTCCCACCTGATTCTTACACTGTTTTATGTCTTGTGTTGGTGAATTTTTTGTTTGGTTTGTGTTGTAAGTTCCACCTACTGTAACCATGCAAGATCTTTTCTCAATAAAATTTGTCAAATGCAGAGAGAATCTAGAATCAGCTGGTCTTTCAGGCTTTTGGAAAGGGGATGTGGGAATTGTATTGGGAGGGTCACGGGGGAATCTTCAGGCACAAGATTGTCTTGGAGCAAGGGAAGAATTGGGACAGGTGTAGTGGGAGAACTCCCAGAATCTTAGTCTTCATCCCTCACTTAGCCTGGGGACCATTGAAAGACCACCTCTCCTCTCTCATTTTAGTACTCTGGTGGGATCCGTAGACTAGGGCCTCATGTGGAAGAAGCATAGGGGTGGGTGGAAGAATCAGTATGTTGATTTATTTAGAATTCGATTCTCAAACTCAGCAAGGATCTCCTTTTGTACATAAGAGGGGCATCTTCTGAGCTGCTTTACAATACTGGTGGTGGGTAATGGAGATCGAGGGCTCTCTTTTCCTGAGAGTTTTGCTAAAGGAACCCATTTAGCACAGTGTCTGGCACTTAGTAGGTGCTATGTAAATGTGAGTTAATATTATTATTCCATTACTAGAGATAGACTCTTCAGGAACATCTGGAGAGAAAAGTTCAAGAATAAGTAGTTACCCAAAGCTGGGGGTAGATTAGGGGTCTCTAGTACAACCTTGTTCTTTTATTTTGCTAGGGAGCAACCTTAATTTGGAAGTTTATGTAAGTAAATATCAATTCTATGCAACAAATAGTTTTTAAGTACCAATGAAGTACAGAGTATTTTGACTGGTGCTGGAGATACAATGATAAAAGCAAAGCTGTCCTAGCCCTCAAAGGACTTTCCTTCTATTAGGGAGCGGTACATAGATTCTACCACATATAGTTGTTGAGTCATTTTTCAGTCTTGTCCAACTCTTTGTGACCCCATTTGAGGTTTTCTTGGCAAAGATACTGGACTGGTTTGCTATTTCCTTCTCAGCTCATTTTACAGATGAAGAAACTGAGGCAAACAAGGTTTGCCCCTGGTCACACAGCTAGTAAGCGTCTGAGGCCAGATTTGAACTCAGGAAGATGAGTCTTCCTTACTCCTGGCCCAGAGCTCTATCCACTATGCCAGCTAGCTTCCCACAACATGTAGACAGATAAGAAAATACAAAGTGATTTCAAAAGGGGGTTGGGGTGGTGGGGGTGAGGTGGCTCAGGAAAGTCTTGAATAAGAGGTTACACATAACCTGTATTTTGAAGGAAGCTAGGGCTCCTAAGAGGCAATGGTGAAGATTGCAAACATGGGATACTACTTGAGAAAAAGGCACAGAGGCCAGAAAAGGAATGTCACGTGCAGACCAATAGTTTGAACAGAATGGAGGGAATACAAAGGGGAGTAATATGAAATAAAGCTGGAAAGGTAGGTGGAAGTCAGATAGTAAAGGGATTTAAATGCAAAGCTAAGGATTTCATATTTTACCTTACAGGCAATAGAGAGCCATTGAATATTTATGAGTAAAGGTGTGACTTGGAATAATTCCTTTGGCAACAGAACGGAAATGAGCAGGGAAAGACTGAAAGCAGTGAAACCAATTAGGAAGCAACTGCAATAAATAATCCATTGCAGAGGTGATGAGGATTTGAACTAGAATGGTGGCTATGTGAGTGGAGAGAAGGGAACAGATGAAAGATTATAGATTAATAGATTTAGAGTTGTATGAGAACCTAGAAGACATTGAGGGAGTTTCCTAAGAAGATTTTAATGACTTTCTCAGGGTCATGTGACTCATCTGAGGTAGGATATGAACAGAAGTCTTTCTGACTTCAAGTCCAGAACTATATCCACTATACCACACCTCCAAAGATGGTGTGGAGGTAGAATTGACAAATTGGGAACCAATTGGATGTATGGTATGAGGGAGAAGTTAAGGATAACTCTAAGGTTTTCAAACTGGGTAGGTGGAAGGCTGCTGGTTCCTTCATTAGAAATAGGAAGGTTTAGAGGAAAGACGGGTTCAAGTAGAAATATAAGAAGTTCTCTTTTGGCCACCCTGAATTTGAGTTGCCTATGGAACATTCATTTGGAGATATCTAGCAGATAATTGGTATTTCAGGACTAGAGTTCAGGAAAGAGATTAAGACTCTATATTGATTTGGGAATCATCAGCATTGAGAAAATTAAACCCATGGGAACTGATCACTAAGGGATTAACCATAGAGAGAATAAAAATATAAATTATTAGGTGCCTATTAGGTGTGGTCCTCTATAGGCTTCGCCTGCTCACTTGCTAAGGGAATGATATACTTCTGGGAGGCTGTGGTAGTATGTTAAGAACCTATTCCAAAGTCAGACCATTCTGTTATGGAAAATTTAGGCCACATGATAATTAGGTACTCCCCAAATCAAAAAGTACTGCCCCAATGAGATAACTAATGGTGGCCCCTGAGAATTGATATGGAAGCTGTCTCCTTTGTCCCCTTCTGTAAGGGTGAACATATGGTAGGGCTCAGCAAATGTTTATTGAATGGGCTTGTTCCATGGTATAGTGTCAGAAATGTTGAATTAAAATTTGTGGACCTGGGTTCCAGGTCTGATTCTACTACTTGCTACCTGTGTGTCTTTGAGTAAGTCATCTGTCTTCTCTGGGCTTCAAATTTTTTCATCTATAAAATGGGGGTATGAAGTGTCCTAGATGATCTCTAAGGGATTTTCCATTATGATCGTTGGTTTCAGAGGAATCCAAGGATGAATCTAATCATCCTGCTCAACCAGCTTTAGAGTAAGTTCTTAATCATGCTCTCCTCCCTTGGGTGTAACCAGCCTCCAACCTGTTCCTATGTTTCTATAGCATGAGTCAAAACCATTGCCTCACTGGGATGACTGGGAAAGACCCAGGGAGGAATTTAGCCTGACCAGGAAGCTGGGCTCAGGATACTTCGGGGAAGTCTTTGAAGGATACTGGAAAGGGAAAGTCAAAGTGGCCATTAAGGTCATTGCTAAGGGTAAGTACCATTCTTCTTGGCTGGGTGGTCACAACTTAGCCTTGATTCCTATTTGATCTATAATTGCATATGGATATCACTCCCTAGGTATGGCATTCTTCTCCACACCCATGTTCTCACCATTCCTCCCACTTGTTTCTCCAAGTCAGAGAACTTCCAGGGAACCTTTAAAAAAAAGACCTCTACTTGTAACCTTGACCTTATCTCTTCTAAGAGTTCATCCCTCTGATCATTTTACTCTCATTTTTGATCTCTCCTTATCTATTGGCTCCTTTCTTGCTGCCTACTAAAACCCAGATCTCCCTTAGAGGCAACCTTAGTGGCCCAGAGGATAGGGCCCTGAGACTAGAGTCAGCATGACCTGAGTTCACATCTGATCTCAGACACTTACTAGCTGTCTGATGATGAGCAAGTCACTTAACCTCTGTCCGCCCCAATTTCAACTGCAAAATGGGGATAAAAAAAACACTTACCTTCCAGGGTTGTTGTGAGGATCAAATGAGATAATATTTATAAAAATTATTTATCACAGTGCTGGACACATCGTAGTTGTGAATAAATGTTTGCTTCCTTCCTTAAAAACTCTTAACTTGACTTCATCATCCCATGTCTTACCACATTTTGATAATCAAGCTCCTAGGAAAAGTCCTCTATATTGCCTCCACTTCCTTTCTTCCTACTCCACAATCTGTCATAATCTGGCTTCTGACCCAACCAGTTGACTAAAACTTCTTCCTCAAGGTTACCAGCAATCTCTTAATTGTATATATACATATTCCTGAGCCTCTTCTGTAACTGAATTTTCTGCCTTATCCATATCTAATCAGAAGTAGAAGGGCTCTGCTTTCCTCAGTCCCCTCTGTGCTTGTTGGGGTCTAAAGGGGTCTCACTCCCCACCCCCAACCCATATATTCTGTCAGGGACAGGAGGCCAATCTCTCTTCTTTTAGCCTAGTCCATATCTATTCAAGTCTTTTTTAGGGAAGGAGGACTTTTCTCCTCCCATGCCACCTCACTCAGCCTCATATCTTTTGTTTGTAATACCAGCACCCTTCTTAAGTGATCTTGTATGTACTTATGAATGAATGACTGAATGAAAAACCATTTAAATGCCTATGATGTTCCAGGCACTATGATCGATGCTAGGGACACAATACAAAAGTTAAACAATTCCTCTATTCAAGGCATTTATATTCTAATGGTGGTAGACAACATGCATATGAGCATGGTGGCCAGGGAAGGAAATTTTGGCCTTGGGAGTCATGGGAATGGTAAGTAGAGCCATAGGGCAGTAGATTGTCAGGACCTTTCCGGAAACTGTGGTAGTATTGATCTGATTGCTGTTCCCAGTCTAAGAGGTGAAAAGCTGGCTCAGGTTATACACATGGACAGCGGAAGACCATAGGATGGGTTAGATGAGATGACACTCACTCACCAATCAGCATGGCTGAGCCACAGTGGAGGTCCAAAATGGATTCACTCCCCCAAAGAGGGAGGAGTTATTTATCTGTTTATATCTTGTTTCCCAATGTAAGAACCTTCAGGGCAGAGACTGCTTCTCTCTCTCTCTTTTTTTTTTTTCATCCCCAGCATCTACCATCGTGCCTGGCACATAGGAGGTGCCTAATAAGTGTTTGGTTGACTGATGAAGGTGTTGGAGTAAATCTCTGTTTCCTTTTAGCTCTAAATCTTATGACTTACTTCTTTCATGGGACCTAGTGAGATATCCCCATTGATTCAAGATTGTTTCTAAGAGGCTGGCCCAGAAGGAATCTTCTCCCTTTTCCCTGTATAACGCATTTATTTATGAAGTTTAAATAAATTCACTCCATGGCTGGCTTTCTATTCCTGCAGATAACCTGATGCATCAGAATACCTTCTACTCAGAGATTGAGGCCATGAAGAAGCTGCGCCACAAACACATTCTCTCTTTGTATGCTATCTCTTCCACTGGGGACCCTGTCTACATCATCACTGAACTGATGCTCAAAGGAAACCTTCTGGAACTCCTTCGAGGTAAGAACAGGAAGAGATATTCAATGGACCAGGGTTTGGCCTACAAAACTCTAGTGATGGGAGAACAGGGCCTGATACAATACACAGAGGTGGCCCATGAGAATGACCTTTCCACTTGACTCAGGAGTAATGTCCTCTTGTCTCTGGCTGTCTCTCCAGCTGCTGTTTCCTTAACAGTATGTGCTCAGAGAACTCTAACCTGAGCTAAAGAGGCGGGGAGTGTGATGAATAGAAAAGATTTATTTCTTGGTTAGGCAATGGGGTCAAGTGACTTGCCCAGGGTCACACAGCTAGTAAGTGTTATGTGTCTGAGGCCAGATTTGAACTCAGGTCCTCCTGAATCCAGGGCTGGTGCTCTACCCACTGCACCACCTAGCTGCCCCATGGAAAAGATTTCCGATTGTGAACTCAGACTTGGGTTTAAGTCCTGACTCTGCCACTGGGTCTGAGCAGGTCAATCCCCTATTCTGGGACTCAGCTTCTTCATCTATCAAATGGGATTGTAGAAAATGACTGGATAACTTTAAGATACCTTCTAACTCTGACATTCTTTGATTTTGGTTCTTCTATATACTACATGTGTGACCTTGGACAAGTCCCTTTACTCCCCTGGTTTTCAATTTTATCTGTAAAATGAGGAGGTTGGACCAAATAAACACTAAATTCCAAATCCTATGATCCTAAGATCCCATGTTTTTGTGATTCCATGAAGAAAAAGGTAGCACAGTAAGTGTTCTCCTCATAGACATTCTATAATGCATGACAAAGCCTAAGAGAACATAATGTTCCTGGAAAGGGGTAACATGAGATAAGACTGGAAAAGTGGTGTGACACCACCATTTGTGGTGATTAAGGAGGACCTTAGATGCCAGGCAAAAGTGTTTGAATTTTACCCTTGGTAGGCAATAAAGAGCCATAGAAGATGAGACAAGTGACATGACCAGATCTATACATAGGAAGACTAGCTGACCCCATGTAAGTATCAGCATAAGACCCTCACAATGTCTGGAAAGCCCTAAGAATTCTCTTTCCACCAAGCTAAGTTTTGAATTAGCCAGAATTTTAAAATTATCCATCTTTTAAGTTCTCTCTACTGGTATAGATGATAAATAGTTCACTCCAACCTTCTTCTCCTCTACTGTATTTTGTCCCTTCCCTATCATCACCTTCTTCTTTTTTGATTGACCTGGTTGAACAGCTATGGTAAAGAGCAATGGAGACCTTCTTGTTTGTCTCTCGCAGACCCTGAAGGGGCAAAATTGCCCACCACGGAGCTTGTGGACATAGCATCTCAAATATCAGAGGGCATGTGCTACCTTGAGTCACAGAATTATATTCACCGAGACCTGGCTGCCAGGAACATCCTTGTGGGGGAAAATAACACCTGCAAAGTGGGAGACTTTGGGCTGGCCCGCCTCATCAAGGTAAAAACTTCATCTGTCAAAGCCTTCATCTCCAACTTCAGTTCATATTCGCATACATGGAAACCTTATTCCAGAGGACCCCTTCCTCTATTGCTAATTTGGTTATACTCAGGGCCAAATTGTATTCTTCACATCCATGGTGTTCATTATAATATGCATGCTCATTCTCTACCCGAACACCAGTATGATAAGGAAGCAGGCTGACTCAGGAGAGAAAGAGTTGAGATTCAGTTCCCTTATTTTATGATTGGGGAAATGACTATAGCTCTTCGAGGCAACGTAGTACAGTGGAAAGCATGCTGTATTTCAAGTCAGAGAACCTTGGCTCAAAACTCAGTGCTGCCACTTTGCTACCTATGTGACCTTGAGCAAGTCACTTGAGTCCCTTATCTGTAAAATGAGGGTGTTAGACTAGCTGGCTTCTAAGATCCTTTCCAGGTCTAAATCGATGATCTTATGATTCCCAACTGATGGGTAGCTGTCCTTAGTGCTGGCCAACTGGGTCAGGGAGCCCGGCCGTAGTCATTGGAGAACAACTCAGTAATCTTTTTGTCTTCCTCTCTTCCTTCTTCTCTGTAGATACTCTGTGCTTCAACCAAACTGAACTACCTCGTTGTCTCCCAAATATCACATAGACTTTCCTACCTCCAGGATCTGGCTCACATTGTTTACTTCAGATTGGAATGTCCTCCTTCCTACACTTAGCCTATTCAGAATTCTTGTTGTTCAGTCATTCCAGTCATGTCCAACTCTTTGTGAGGCCATTTGGGGTTTTCTTGGCAAAGATACTGGAGTGGTTAGCCATTTCCTTCTCCTGCTCATTTTACAGATGAGGAAACTGAGGTAAACAGTGACTTGTGCAGATTGCATAGCTAGTAAGTGTGTGAGGCCAGATTTGAACTCAGAAGGATGAGTTTCCCTGACTCTAGGCCTGGTACTCTCTCCACTGTGCCACCTAGTTGCCCATTCAAAATTCTACCCAACCTTAAAAGACTGATTCACATTTTTCCCCTTCTGTAAAGTTTTTCTTGACTTCTCCAGCACAGAGTTATTTCTCCCTCCACCAAGCTCTTACAGTATTTATTATCTGTTCCAGGCCTCTGACACATATAACTGACTGCCCAGTTATCTCCTCTGTGACCTCCACATTTTGTCTGCTCAGCTAGATAGTAAACTCCTCAAGGGAAGGCTTCTTTCAAACTGTCACACTTAGGGCAATGCACCTCAATGAACTGATTCAATTCCATAAGCTTTGATGAACCACCTACTCTGTATTGTTCACTGTTCCAGAGAAGATCATTCCTGTACTCATAGAATTTCAGGTTAGTAGAGGAGTATGATACAGAGAGAAATAGTTCTAATACAAAATAACATAAGCTAAGTGCATTAGAGAAATAGAAATAAAATATTATGTGAAGTCAGAGAAGAAAGGCCATTCCTAACTATTATGGAAGGCTTCATTAAGTTAGTGCCATTTGACTTGGTCTTTAAAAGATGGGCAGGAATTTATCTAGGAAAAAAATAAATTCCTACCTACCCATAAACATGAACTTGGACAGACTTCAAGAGATAGTAGAAGATAAAAGGGCCTGGCATGATATGGTCCATGGGGTTACAAAGAATGGGACCTAACTCAATGACTGAACAACAACAAAGGAATTTACTGGCTTATTGCTGGGGTCAGGAGGTTGATGGGGAAAATGTTTAGGCATAGGAAACAAGGAGTTGGAGAGGAGAAAACATGTCATGAAGAGGAGGTGGTAAGGAATCCAGTTTATATGGAACATAGTGTTCCTGGAAAGGAATAACATGAGATAAGGCTGGAAAAGTGGTGTGACACTACCATCTGTGGTGATTATGGAGGACCTTGGATGCCAGGCAAAAGTGTTTGAATTTTACCCCTGGTAGGAAATAAAGAGCCATAGAAGATATTTGAGGAGAGAAGTGATATAACCAGATCTGTTCACAGGAAGACTAACTGACCCCATATAAGTATCAGCATAAGACCCTCACAATGTCTGGAAAGCCCTAGGAATCTTCTTTCCACCAAGGTATGCTGGAAACAGCATTGCCTTACATTGATACTATTTTTAAGTTTGTGAAGAATTTCACAAAATTTGTGTCATTTGATTGCCACATGAACCTGGCCAAGTAGGTAGGTTGAGCATTATTATCACCTTAATTTTACAGATGAAGAAATTGAGATATGGAGAGGCTGAGGAACTGGAAGGATGGAATGGCCTCTAGTCTCTTCCTGCTGAATGGGGAGGTTTCTTGACTTTATCCAAGTATTCATTCATCGAACACTTATTAATTACCTACTATATGCAAGACACTGAGGACATAAAGATAGCTAGGACAAAGGCCTTGCTCTTAAGCAGTGGCTAACCTAATAATTTGTAAGTTTCTGTTATCCTAGTCCCCAGCCCTACTACATATCCTGCTCCCCCTCTCTACTTTCCAAACCTTGGTAGTCTCTTCCTGTTTTTAAGGAATACTGAGAGATTCGACTTTTCATAAGTATCAGAAAAAACAGTCCTTTATAAACAGTGGTATAAAAATCAGCCCTCCAGTCTCTGTGGTTTAGAAAAGCAGTTCTAAACAATTGGAAAATGGGGGAGATGTGGGCCCAATAGTATGTCTGCCAAATAATGTTCTTTAGGGGAAATTCCATTTCAATGGCTGTGAACAGTTGAACCACCTTTATAGTATTAAAGTTCACATAGGATTTCTGAGAGTTTGACACCTGCCCTGAGACCAGACACATCCTGGGCCAGCTAGGTGGTCTGGAGTCAGGAAGATCTAAATTCAAATCTGACCTCAGACATTTACTGTTTGACCCTGTGCAAGTGACCTAACCGCTGCTGGCCTCAATTTCCTCATCTGTGAAATAGAGATAATAGTAGCACCTAACTCCCAGGTTGTTGTGAGAATCAGATGAGATAATTTTTGTAAAGTGCTTAGGACAGTGTCTGGCACACAGTAGTTGCTATATGAATGTTAGCTATTGTCTTTTTCTCCCTGTCTAACAAAACTTTTATGTTTACAGGATGATATTTACCTTTCCTATGCACACAACATCCCCTACAAATGGACAGCACCAGAAGCCCTCTCCTATGGATGTTATTCAACAAAATCTGATGTCTGGTCCTTTGGAATTCTTCTCCATGAAATTTTCAGTGGTGGACAGATACCTTATCCAGGTATAATGTTCTCTGAACTATAAACAGAAGGGCAAAGGAATGCAGATGGATGGTGGTAGAGAAGATAGTCCTACATTGCAGATGTCAGAATCCCATGAGTGCTTACTGCAGGGGTCCCATAACCTCTGATATAGACATGCCCAAGACAATAGGGGGGAGCTCAGAAAGTATTGTGAAGGATACAGTTTTTATGATGCAGAGCCATTACTTCCTAGTCCTTGGTGTACTTTATTCCAAGTACTTTAGGTAGCTTAAAGCACAGCCTAATACATACCTGGTTTCCTTGCTCTCCTTTCTGTCAACAAATTCATTCTAAAGCCACAGCATAAAGATCAGTTTAGGAACATTAGCTCAGGGGCCTGGGCTCTGCTTGCCTTAATATGCTGACTTTAGGCACTTTCAGAATGGAGACTGGTGACTTTGTTGTGGTTACTGGCGACAAATGTTGCCTTCCTGCTCCATGGATCAACTTCCCACAGATCAACAGCAGGCAAAAATGAGTTCTGGGCTCTGATACCCCTAAGGCTATAAGCCAAAGGCAGAGGGAAGATTTTTTTGCCTTATGATCCAAAGGTCTGGTAGACTCAGTGTTTACCTCAGGTGCCACTGGAGTCTAATATATAGTATGTTATTTTCCTGGTCTTTTTTAGCTATGAAGATATAAAACCTCTTGTTTTTCATTTAACCTCAAAGCCTAAGGGTGATTAAAACACTATTTGTGCCTTATCCTCCCTAGTGAGAATGTCAGACAATCTTAAACTCTCCTAGAGAGGTTAGAGATGATGTGGAGTAGTGGAGTGTTTGACACAGTATTGGGGAAAACCTGGGTTCAAATCCCACCTCTGACCCATGGGGAATTCATTTGACTTCCCTTAGACTTAATCTCATGTATAAAATGGAGATAATAATATCTGATTTTTATAGTGCTATAAAAAGACAGGTAATTATTATTCATTATGCCCAGAAATTCTTTAGTCTACATCTGTGGTCCTTATCTTTTCGTTTTCCTTTTCTTCCTTAGGGATGTCCAATAATGAGGCTCACATGAAAGTCCTGGGTGGCTTTCGGATGCTATGCCCCACAAAGTGCCCAGCTTCCATCTATGACCTCATGTATAAATGCTGGAATCTGACTCCAGAAGAAAGACCCTCCTTTAAAAGCCTTAAAGAAAAACTCATTAGCTTCACCAATTATGAAAACCCTCTCTGAAGTGGGGGTGGGCCTGAAAGACATGCTTCAGGACGCTTCCTTACTTAGCACTAAAGTCCACCTGGAATCCTGCAAGCAAGCTCAATGGTCTCCCTTCCTCCGGAATCATGAACCTTGAGCATGTAGAAGTTCCATGGGGACTGTGTCTGAAGGCAACGTGGCCTAGTGGAAAGAGTGTTGCTGGACCTTGAGACAGAAGACCTGGATTTGAGTCTGGGCTCCAACATTCACTACTTGCACAGATTTACAAGAATTACTCCATTTCTCTGGGCCTCAGTTTCTTCTCTGTAAAATGGGAATAATAATACTCATGCTACCTCTCTTCAAGGGCTGTTGTGAGGAAATCATTTTTTAAACCTTAAAGCTCTATCAAAATGTCAGCTGCTGTGGTTGCTGCTGCCCCTTGTTCCGGCCCCAGCCCTTCCAGCTGGGGCTGTGTTGTGTGTGCAAAACAGAAAAGGTCACTTGAAGTATATAAATGCACTGCGGTCAGAGCACAGCTGACCTTCAAAAGTGTCCAGAAGGCAAAGTGGTTGATTGGTTTCTATTTCATTTACTAAAACTTTGCTGTTGTAAAATGAGCAAATTTCATCTACAGTAAAACATTAAGAACTCCTAGATTCTTCCTCAAATAGTCTCTAAGCCTATACTTATGAGAAACTCAGAAAATAGAAGTTCAAGTTTTCTGAAGCTTTCCATGCCCTTGGTCAAGATTCATATAGAGGCCATGTGGTGCAGTGAAAAATGTGTTGGATTGTTGCCAGAGGACCTGTCATTTTGAGCAAGTCACCTAACCTTTCCAGACCTTAATTTCCTCACATGTAAAAGGAAAGGGGTCGGATGTGATGCCTCTCAGATCCCTTCGTGCCCTAATCTGAGCTGTAACTATGCCATACCATCGTTCATTTTGTTTGGAAGGGATTAACTGGCCCTGGTGAGGGAATCTTAGGATAAAATAATAAAGCTGTGCAGTGGGGAAAGGAGAAGGGATCTTTAAATTCTTTATCACAAGAACTTACTATCTTTTAAATTGCAATTCAGGCTGTGTCCAATTCAGGCTTTGGCGGGGCTAAAGCCTGAGTCTAAAGGTGATATTTAATGGAAATCCCAGCAATCCTCCTGTTATCAGGTCCTGTTTTCAGCCCTGACTTTTACTTGGACCATATGGTCTGTAAACACTTTTGTGTGTGTGTGTGTGTGTGTGTGTGTGTGTGTGTGTGTGTATGGTAGAGTGAAACCATTGGAAGAATGAAGAAAAGTGACCTAGATTTGAAGTCAGAGAGTCTGACTTCAAATCCTATCTCTATCAGTTATTACCTTGTTCAAATCACATAATTTCTTGGGGCCTATTTCCACATCTATAAAACAAGGAGGCTGGACTAACTGACCTCTAGATTACCTTACAGTTTTAAGTTTGTCATCTAATGATCCTTTGATGCCTGTTAAAGAGCAGAGCAAGCTTTCTGGGATCAATGCCCTGATGGTTCTTTGGGATTAAGAGGTAGAGTGATTAGGCCCTGAACCTATGGACATTTAGGCCATTACTAGACCTGAAGCGTTTGCAGCTGTTGATTCTGGGTCCAAGCACCACACATCCATTATGGCCTGACTTCTTTTATTTCACTAGTACAAGTGAGAATTGGTTCAAATGGCCCATTGACCATGAAAATATAATCTTCCTGGCTTCCCTCACATTGAGTCTCACCACTGACCCAACTGGGAGTGAGCTGGGGTTTGAGTCAGCTCTCTGATGGTAACAGCTGCCTGTGGTGAGGCTAGTCATTTGTGGGGAACCCTTCTCTTCCTCCCAAATCCCTGTGCAGGTTATAAGCAGGAGCACACCTAGTCATTCTCCTACCTGTGCCCTCTCTGCCAGAGAACTAAGTAGGTGAGTCCTGCTGGTGACTTGTTCCATAAACAGAGGCCACTGGTCCTTCTTCACTCTTATGCAAGGGTAAAGAAAGACTGTAAAATAAACTATGTCAGTCATACCTTATGGAATATTGGACACAGTCAAGGGCAATTGGCTGGGCAGGGAGAGTGCTCCCTATGCAGGTCCCAGTGATCAGTGCTGATAGATACCACCTGGTCCCAATCTAACAATAGCTATTTATAACCAGAAGCTGAGTTTAGATTAAAAAGGAGTCATTGACTGAGGGCAGACCTGCACCCTGGTGGTGAGATTGGGGCAATGCCAGTCCCCAGGACAGGACAGCCAGCTTTCCTGATCATTGTAGCTATGACTTACACCTACCCCTTCTCCTTTCACTGCAGGGTGGTTATAGAATCATAGTTTTAAAGCAGGAATGATCCTAGAAATCACTTAGTCCAACTACTTCATTTTTAACAGGAAACTTAAGCCCATAGAGGGTGAGTGACATGCCCAGGATCACAGCTAAGCAGTGTTAAGAGGCAGAAAGAGAGCCCCAAGTCTTAGGGTTCAGAATGGCACGAACTTTCAAGGTGACTTGGCAAGACCTGGGTAAAAGCCCCAAGTACCAGAGGAAGTAGGTTAGAATGGAAGGAGAGTGCGTCCAGAAAGAAAATGCCCTCTTGGGAAGAGTTCTTCTCCAATCTTGAAGTCCACCTGCCGACCTTTTGAGAAGGACAGCAGGTGCTTTCAAGACTAATTTATACTCCAGTGTCTCTTCATGTGCTAACACAGGTTCTGACAACACTATAAATCAAATCATACCTTCAATGCATTAGGTAACTTATCTAAACAATCATTTTGTAATTTAAAGAAACCAGCAACCTTTCCTTGTTCATCCATCTCTTGTATAATTCCAGACTTTCAGGTGTTTACCTAAAGCCAATGCCTAACTATGTAACTGCATCTGCTGAATCAGAGCTAGTTAGCTGTTAGCACTGCACAGGAAAGGGAAATAGGAGAAAGGTTGGCAGAGCTGCCATGAGGCTTTGACCTTCCTGGCTTATGTTGCAGCTGGTGATGCAGTGGATAGAGCACTGGACCTGAAGTCAGGTAGACCCCAGTTCATATCTATCAGACACTTACTAGCCATGTGGACCCTGGACAAGTCACTTAACCTGTTTTCCTAATACCTGCCAGGGTTATTGTGAGGATTAAATGAGGTAAATGCTAAGCATATAGCAGGTGCTATATAAATGCTCGTTGCTTCCCTTCCCCTCATACAACTCAACCTCCTAGTGATTGATGGAACTTTACTTGTATATCCTCTCTCACTACAGCACACAAATAAGCATTCTGCCAATTCATTTAGGAATTAGCCCTTTTGTCCTCCTATAGCTAGGAGTGAGGCAGGGTAAGGAGGGTCAAAGCTGGGACTTTGGGAATTACAGTCTCTTTGGGAAATGAAAGGAACTCACAGCTAATTCCTGGCTGGCCTTGGTTCCCAGAGGGTCTCTGAGGAAGGACTAGTGTCTTCTATAGTAGTAGGCCTAAGGTACACAGCAGTTACTCCGGCATATGCTTTCTTCTCCAACTCAACTACTCAGGCCTTGTTTGGGGGACCCTACCTCTTATCTAGTCTTTTTTGAGGGATACATAGCAGATAGCCTGAGCCCCTGGATTCTTTGCTCTAGGAGGGAGGTCTGGGGTTAAGAATATAGTAGATATAAGCAAAGTCAGTGTAAAGCAGAAGGGGCAACAAAATATTTCATCAAGCGTTCCTCAGTATGCACAGACCCAGACAAGCATAGAATATCCCTCAGGTTTTGGAAGGACCGAACCTATCGTCCTTCTTTCCTGATTATCCCACTTCTCCCTTGCTAACTGCTTCCTGTTTAACCACATGCAGCAGGTTCTTTCTGACTATAGGACGTGCCCTTTGAAAGAAACTGGATTTCTAATCTGGCTTTATCACCAGGTTGCAAATAGGTGATTACAGGTGCTACCAAGAGAAGGAATGGTTCAAGCCAAGAGAGGAAAGTGCTCCATTAAGGCACACATCATTAAAAGGCTGCTCAAAGTTTATTAGTTTCCGCTGAGTACAAAGTAAACAAGTTACGGAGGCTTCTGGAAAGCACATAGGTGATTCAGATAGTAAAAAAAACAAACAATAACAGTGTGGTTTCTTTTACTGTTTTTTGGTGTTTTGCTTTTGTTTTCCTTTAGAAAAAAAAAACCACACACACACAACACAACTACTTCTATACTTAAGCAGCCAGTCTATTCTAAGGGAATAGGTGGGAGAGGGAACGGAGGGGAGGGGAGGGGAGGGGAAAATGGGCTCTGATGCCTAGCACACTTCAGAAGCGGGGTGAGCAGCAAGAAGGCTGCTGGTGCTTATGCAGAAGGCCCAGTGCTGGTCTTGCTGGGCTCGCTGACACGCCGCTTCCTCATGGCCTCCTGAGCCAGGTCACAGGTGATCGTGCCATGAGCAACCTGGAAAGTTCCTGAGCTGCAAGTCAAATATCAGAGGAAGAGTCAAGCATCAACAAATTCCAATGCTACAGAAAGCACCAGCACCCCAAGAGGTGCTGGGTTAAGAAGCCCTTCACCACTCCTCCCTGCCCACCCCCAATTTCCAGCCTGTCCCAATTCATTTTTCCATTTTTCCTGTATTTCATGCTATAATAAATTCTCATTCATTGCAGAGTTATGCCTAGGTAAACTAATGGTAGGCTAAAAACCAGGATTTTTTTTGGGGGGGGGGGGAGTTAAATTGTCAAAACCACATTTATTTTCCTTAAGTCACACTCAACTTTTTCAGCCCTCACCCTCAGGTTCCAAGCCCACTACATAGCTACCTCCAATCAGAGGCTCACTTACTGCTCTGGGGATTCCAATACAGTTGTCATGAATGGATGATTCGACTTCCCGAAGAAGAAGCTTGCCCACCAGTGGCCTGGGTCTGATTTGGGAAGACCTAGAACAGCCAAGAGAGAGTCACTCATTTTGGGATTAATTCAGAGTGGTTACCAATCTGCTAATTCGGTAGAATCAGCTCTCCTTTTCATTCTCACCAGGATGGTGGGGGATCTTACCATTCTCTTTTCTATACTCACCAGGATGGTGGGGGATTACTTCCCCAGAATACTCAGCACTTCCACAGGAGCTGTTGCTGGAAGTGGAACCCAGACGCCCTGGGAAGGAAACACTTGTGTCACCTAGTGCCTCCTTCCCTGGGATAGAGATAGTCTTCAGCCCCTTCTGGGTTATTGGAGTGGCTACTCAAGGTCTCCCCCAAACCTTGGAATTTTGCCACTTCCATGAGGCCCGAGGAGCCCTCTTCCAGTAGATCAACAATTCACTATGTCTCATTTTTCACCTAATCAAATCAGGGCTCCAACTATACAGTTAGTTATTCTCCCATCACAAATTGGTGCCAATTGTAAAGATCAGCAAGGCTGTACACCATTGGCTAGGTATGTATTCCTTTGGGACCGCTGGGAAGAGTTAAGGGGTGTATTCTAGGAGTTAAAGAGAGTTTACAAAGAGCTTTCTTCCAACAACTTTGTGAGGTAGGTAGTATAAGCAGGATTTACACCCATTTTACAGATGAGAAAATGGAGGCTCAGAATGGTGAAGTGACTTGCCCAAGGTCACACAGCTACTAAGTGGTGGTGGGTGTTCTGCCTCTGAATCCAATGGTCTCTCCACTTACACACCCTGTTGCACACCCTGACATGTTTTCACCAGGTTGAATTCAATTTATAACTAGGGGTTGTATGTTTTCTTTTCATAATGGATTTTCAAGTGTCAATAGAAATCCCCAGTCCTCCTTCAGTACATCAGGTGGCTGAGTGCCCACAGGCACACTGGACCCTATGGTTCTAGCCAGGCTAGGGCTTGATGCGGCAGGGAGGCCTTACTTCGGTAGTAGTCATGGGTTGCTACGAGTGAACCGCTGGACGGGATTGCTGCCATATTGCTTGTTCTTGTTGTGATGATGTAAACCTGCAGGGGAGACAGTTATGATTTTCAGATGCACTTTGGCTCTCCCTATAAGTGATGCCCACCAGGCTGCAATAGTTCCTCCTCTAGTGACCTGGCTCTACAGAGCCTGCAGCTCCAAAGAGGCTAGATACCATGTGGACCCCAATACTTTCCTCAAGGAGGTATTCCTCAAGGTAACTGCAGAATTTCTACCTACTTTCAGAAGTTTCTAAGACAATGAGTGTGACTTCATGGGCTAAATCTTGGGTACGCTGGCCGTCCTCACCCTTATAGGTCTTTTAAGTATATCCCAATGCCATGAGACAATGATTTTCGGAGAAATTATAGATAAGCTATCCCACTTCTACCTTGCTTGTTAATTCTAGAATGTTAAAAAAATAACTAAGATCTATGTTTATGTTATTAAATCCTCTTGGAATGAGAAAACTGGGGAGGCTTTTAGGAAACTTTCCTAGAGTACTGACAAAGGAGGTATTCTCAGAGAAATCATTACTTGTACTGCAAGTTGAATTCTCAGTATTTCTCCAGACAATCACGACAGCACCATCATCCCAGTAACCCAGGCTTCCAGCCCAGTTATCTTTGACTCTTTCCTCCACCCCTAAACTGCCTAGCTCTATCAAGGTATCTTCCCTGGTATTTCTCGTATCTGTCCTCTTCTTTCTATCAACTTGATACCACTCTTGTTCAAGTCCTTTTGCCTGGACCTGTATCAACTACAAGGTGATTCCAAAATAATTGAACGCCTTCTCAAATTTAATTGAACATGTCACATGTACCAGATTTAGAATTACCCTTACATTTTTCAATTTTCTTCCAGATAACTTTTACAAAATTTTTACCAGATACCTTCACAAAATTGTTTTCAAATGTTCAGGAAACTTTGCCTGATGCTTTATCCCCTAGGCTAAAACTGTTCTCTCTCCCAAGAAATATCTTAAAATACCGGGCAGCTCCTTTGTAACATTCTCCCAAGGGAGAGTTCCTCCAGGAACTACCACTTTAGGGAAGGGCCCAGACCAAGGGTAGGGAACCTGCAGCCTCTCGAGGCCAAATGTGGCCCTCTAGAAACTCAGTGAGGGAGGCCCTTTGAATTCAAATTTCACAGAACAAATCCCCTTAATAAAAAGATTTGTTCTGTAAAACTTGGACTCAGTCAAAAGGCCAAACCCAAGGACCTAGAAGGCCACTTGTGGCTTCGAGGCCGAAGGTTTCCCACATCTGGCCCAGAACCTCCTTTATTCTCCAGTGGTCACCAGGTTAGGGGGGAGAGCACCTTCTCAGTTCCTTTTATTCATTGTCCTCCACCACCAGAATAAGCTCTGAGCAAAGTCTACCTTTCTTTTTTGTTTGTATTTCTATCTCCAAAGTACAGGGTCTGGCATGTAGTGAGTGCTTAATAAACGCTTGTTGATTGGACGTGCACAGTCTAGAACAGAATCTTGCATAATGGCTGCCTAAGAAATGCTAGTTAAACGGAATCCTAGCATCTACCCCGAGGACAGTAAGAGTCCAACTCGCTTGCGAGACAGCCTTGCTTTTAAGTTTTTTCAGCACGAACTTAGTGGCAAAGCTTAGCATTCACGGTATTAAGCTGCCCTCTTCTCTCACATCCGCACATTCTCCCTATACATCCCCACCCTCCACCCCTCATCCAAGCAGCAACATTTAGAGAGCTTTCGTGTTACTGTCTGGTCTCAGGCAACAAAGAGGGCCTGCACAAGAAAACAGAAGTGCATTGTTTGGCCTCTTTGCCGTGGTCAGCGATTTCGGCAGTGAAGGGAAGCAAGCCCGCCTCTCCCTAATTCCTCCAGACAACTGTCTATTATCTGCGCCGCCCTGTTTGCAGCTCCTCCCCCGCAGCCTTACATAACCTTAGCGGGCGGGGGAAGGGGGTACCCCACCCAGAACTCCATCAAACCGGTTCAAACTGGCTCAGAGAAACCCACAGGTTCTGTGCCAAGCTTTCCCTGTTCGGAGATTCCAACCCTAATTATGAACAGCAAAGGAGAGATGGCGGGGCTAGAGAGAGGGCGGGGATGCAGTATGCAGTGCCTCTCTTCTCCAGTGCCTTCCCAGAGCAACTGAGGGCCGGTAGGAACCCGATCAGTCTCATCACGGGAGAGCAAGGGGAAGGCACTGTTGTTCTCCAGATCAGCAGGAGCCCGCCTCCCCACCCCTGCTTAGCCCCGCCCAGCAGCCTCAAAAGAAGCTAGGCTAAACGAGTAGGGTATAATTTATACTAAGCTAATTCGAATTTAAAAGACAGGTTATTCCATCCTTTGGTTCAATCGGCCTCTTAATCGTACACACAAATCAGGGAAAGCGTCCAGGGTTAGACTTAGATGCTTTTAGGTAAACCGACGCCCTCCATCTTGCAGGCAGTCCTGGTCTCTCTGGCTATATAACTCTAGAGATTTTTCTTTGCGGGGGGTGGTAAGGATGGGATACGCTACTCAGAAAATGACCTGGATCAAAGTCAGTGTTGGGTCTGTTTCCGGGCCACTGGCCTTTCTCTTGCTTCTTCCCCCAACCCCATTTCTGTCTGAACTGGTTGGGGTCGCTTCAGACAAGAACTAAGATCTCCACGTGGAAGCTGGGAAGGCTTGTCTTCCAGAGATCAAGGCCAACTTTGACCAAAAAAAGCTTTGATCCAACCAACCGAGGCCAGCACATGGGTGAGGTCCTTTCTAATGGCCATATTTGGGAAGCAGATCTGATCGGACAGAATTCCTGAGCTTGTCACGAGGGCCAAAAGGGCTGGATCTGTTTCATATAACCTAGATGCATTCAAGCCTCCCAGATTTCTCAAAGAGTACCTAGAAATGGCGAACTGGGCGGTTGGGGAGTGTACAAAGAAAGGGCTAAGCTTGCCCCAACACGTGTTGTGGCTGAGGAAGGGTAGGGCATTCACTACGCGTATCCTAAACAGTGATCCTAGGTGGGACGAAATGACGGTTCCTTCTCCACCCTAGACAGTAGGGCGGAGGCCTGAAAGAAGGCAAACAAAGCTTCACAAAGCTTGGGAACTGGCCAGGAAGAGAGACAATCACCAACGGGGGGTTGGGAGGGAAATAAAAGGTAGAGATCCTGGAGGGAGGTGAAGGGGGGGAGAGAAGGGGGGAATATTAGTAGAAGAGGAAGTGGTTTATATTATTATCTCCCAAAGAGTTTCTAATCTACATCCTTTCAGGTGGAAAACACATACTACCCCCTCAGCACCCAAGCACAGCAGTGAAAAAGTCTGCAGAAACCAGGTAATTACAGTAAGCCACGCCACCTTGAAAAGAGCTCAATTAACCGCCCAGTGCTTGGCCGAGAGCTAAGGCTGAAGCACCTTTACAGTTTCTAAGTCTCCGAAACCTTTGGAGAGTGTCGATTTCTCAGGATGCCTTATTTTTGGGACTAAATCTGTCAGCGGGATCTTGATTCATCTTCCCTAGGAAGTAGCGTTGGGGTAGTCAAAGAGTGGGGTTGGACCTTCACACTTGAGAATCTAGCCTCAAATCCTAACTTAGCTTTACCATATAAGCCTTCTGATTTACCACAGCAGTTAGTGCCCCTTCTCCGCTGTCCTGCCAACCCCCAAGAAGTTACTTTGCTACTTAAATGGCTGCATGGGCTTCCCCCCCCCCATAGATGGGAGCGCCCTATGGGGTAGGGAGTTTTGTCTTTGAAACTCTGGCACCTAATACAAAATACATTTAAATATATTTTGATTGAGAAGTCAACCAGTACCCTTTCTGGTCCTATTTTTCTTATCTATAAAATGAAAGGTTGAACTAAGTCTCCAAGGCCTCTTTCACCTCGATTAATTTTTATTTTGCTCAGCCAATGCCCCAAAGTTCCTCAAATCTAGCCTCTCCTGAGAGCTCTGCCATCCAGGAACCTTGAGGGTTCTTTTTTTTTTTCTTTACTTTGAGTATTTATTTGGGACTTTTACTAATATTGTAGTTTTATTCCCTTGCAATAAGATTTAGGGTAATAGGAAAGGTTTTTAGAGTGCATCCCTTTCCATTTACAGATAAGGGAAACTGAGTGACTTACTCGAGGTTATGCAGGAGCGCTAAGAGACTTGCCAGAGGCAGTAAGGAGCAGAGCCAGAACCGGAACCCAAAGTCTTCTCAAAGCGATGCTCCTTCCACTTGGATACACTTACACTTCCGCATGTAGCTCTGGTCTGGAACTGCCTAATACAAATCCCAGTGCCCTGGCTCCTTTGCTAGCCTTCCTGGACAATCTTTAAAATGGAGTCTGGACTTTGCCCTGCGAGGGTGGGGTCTCCTCCTCTCCCCTCCTAGTCTACCCCTAGCCATCTGCTACGGACTCACCACACAGGGAAGGCAAGAGTAAGGCACGGGGCGGGAAGAGCTACCCAGCCCCCGAAAGAGGACTGCAGCTAGCTCTCCTCTCAGCCCCGTCCTGCTTACCTTAGTGGCGGCTCCCGAGCAGCCCCTGTCAGGCAGTGGGCTGCGGCGGACGATCACGGGTGACCTGGCTCGGGGGAAAGGGGCGCTAGGCCACAGAGCCCATTTGTAAAGGAGATCACGGGAGGATACTCCACGGCAACGAAAATGCGAGAGTTCTTTGGGTTTGACTCTCGAGGGGCCGAGCAAAGACTTATATAAGGTGGCAAGAGGGGCGGGGGAAGGCGCTCGTCATTGGAGGTGGGAGGAGGGAACCCTGGTCTCCGCCTCCCGTACCCCGCCCCGGTTGAGGCTCAGAAGAACTCTTCTCAGAGTGAAATAGAGAACAAGCGCTTTTGTTGGCAGAGGTGCGGAGGGGACAAAGACTTCCATCCCTCTTTCGTGGACACCAAGGCATTTGAGCTACTACTGGGAAGGAGCTGGGGATAAAAAGATGTGGTCCAAATTTATCTTTAATTGAAGGAGCTCCTAGAGAAGGAGCACTTGAAAAATTTAAAAACCTCCCATGTGCAGCAGCTGTTGGATGCAGTCTTCTGTCTTCCTCCTTTGCAGCTAGCCCTAGAAGCTTCCTGGAAGGGAAGGAAGCCGATCCTTTTAGGGGCCCCTCCCCAACTTTGCTTCCATAATTTGTGTCCCTTGGGTGTACGTGTGTGTGTGTGTGTCTATAGGGTGTGTGTTTGTAACCAAAGTTCCCAGAATAGGGGTGTGTGTGTGGGGGTGTGTGTGTGTGTGTGTGTGCGCGCGCGCGCGCGCCAAAGTTCCCAGAGTTTCGCCCTGGCATGACTGTTTTGAGCCTCTTTCAGAGAGACCCTCTGGCAGGACCCTCCTAGCTCGGAAATACTCTGAGTAAATCGAATTCCTGAGGTTTCCCATGCTCATTGTCTGTCTTGGCGTTCATAAAACCCCTAGGTGTATCAAAATTGACCCAAAGACCAGGAGGATGAGGGCAAGGGCATCCCCTGATGTGCCCAGGCTGAGGGCTGGGTTGCTGTTGGGAGACAGGAATGAGTGGAGGGAGTAGCACAGTTTAGGCAGAGTTTATATTATCCTCCTCTCCCCCCCCCCCCCGCCCCACATCAAGGAAATGTATTGTAATTTTATTGAAACACTTTGTTTAAAATGACATAGCCTGGGTTTTGGAGGTCAGGGGATCTGAGGATGGGTAGGATGGAATCTGTCAGGCATTGAGGGGCAGGTTGCCTGCTATCCTAGTCCTCCAATTCCCTCTTGCAGCAGCAGACTTTCTCATCCAGTGTACTGATATGTTTCTATACGTCTTTGAACTAGGGCCGGGGCTAGCTCTGACTCCGCAATGCTCTTGTGGCTCTGAAAGTGAAGAATGCAATACTACCAGGGCCATAAGCATCAGGGAAGCTGATTGACTAGGAGAGGTGGAAGCTCAGGAAGGAGAAAGGACAGGGAGAGTAGGAACCCCAGTAGGGATTTGGTAAATTCCCCAACAGTCTGAGGAGAGGCAGGGGAATAAAGATGTTGGGGAGTGAGCTGGTTATTCCAATTCATTCGGAGCCCAGAAAGATTCCGGTTCAGGCTGTCTTGGGTGGGGCATGACCTGGGTTCTAAAGTTACATAACAAAGGTTAGGACTTCTCGGGGCTGACTGACTCTGTAGAACTTTTAGCCTAGAGAAAACTTAGGGAGAATGTTATTTCTGTATTCAAGTATGTGAAAGGCTGTCATATGGAAGAGTGTACTTTTCCCCTTGCTTAGACATAGAATGAAGAACCAGGAGTAATGGGCATATACCGCAGGAGTAAGATTTTATCTTTTTTTAACTCAATTTTATTTTTTCTCCAATTATCAAGCATCAATTTTCTCTCTTTCCTCACACTAAAAAAAGAGAAAAATCCCACCCCCAAAATTCCCACATTGGCCATGTTAAAAAACAAAACAAAACATCTCATTCTTTATACTAGTCCATCACAACTCCATCAAGAGGTGGGTAGCATTCTTTATCATCAGTCCTTGTGATCAGTCTTCAGTTCTTTCAAAACTGTTTTTACAAGGTTGTTATAATTATAAATTGTTCTCCTACACTCTGCATCAGTTCACACAGCTCTTCCTAGGTTTTCTCTGTGGCTGTCTCTTTCATCATTTCTTATAGCAGAATAATATTCCATTAATTTATGTATCATAATTTTTTTTAGTGATTTCTCAGTTGATGGACATCTCCTTAGTTGCTAATTTGCCACTACATAACAAGCTGCCATAAATATTTTTGTACAAATAGGACTTTTGATCTCTTTCTTTGATCTTGGGATATATGCCCAGTAGCAATATCAGTGGTGAAAGAGCATACACAGTTTAGTAACTTTTTGAGCTAGTTCCAAATTGCTTTCTAGTATAGCTAAGTCATAAAGTTACCAACTGTAGAGCTGTTTCCTCCAAATGCCTCCAATATTTGTCATTTTTCTTTTTTTGTCAGTTTTTCCAGTCTAATAGGTGTGAAGTAGAATTGCAAAGTTGCTATAATTTTCATTTCTATGATTATTAGTGAATTGGAACATTTTTCAAGCTTTAGATAGCTTGTATATTTTTCCTCTTCATATCCTTTGACCATTTGTTGATTGGAAATAAGTTTTATTTTTATAAGTTTGAATTAGCTCCATATATATATATCTTGGAAATGAATTTTTTTTGGAGAAACATACTGTAGAAATTTTTTTTCTCCCAGTTAACTGCTTCACTTTTAATTTTAGCTGCTTTGGATTTATTTGTGCAAAAACATTTACATTTTATGTAATCCAAATCGCCCATTTTTTTTTGTGATCGTCTCTATTCCTTTTTAAGGTCATGAACTCTTCCCCTATCCATTGATCTAGAAAGTAATATTTTCTTGTCCCTCTAATTTATTTTGATGTGATATTTTATATCTAAGTCAAATATCCATTTGGAGCTTATCTTGGTATATGATGTGAAATTTTGGTCTAAATCTAATTTCTGTCAGACTGCTGTCCATGTTTTTTGTTTTTGTTTTTTTGTCATATAGTGAGTCTTACCCCAGTGTTTGCATTTATAGAACACTAGACTACTAAGTTTATTTGCTCCTGTATGTTGTGTACCTAATTTGTTCCACTAATCAACCTCTATTTTATCTTTTTTTTTTTTTTTGGTGAGGCAGTTGGGGTTAAGTGACTTGCCTAAGGTCACACAGCTAGCAAGTGTTACTTGTCTGAGGCCTGATTTGAACTCAGGTACTCCTGACTCTAAGGCTGGAGCTCTATCCATTGCACCACCTAGCTACCCCCAACCTCTATTTTAAAACCATTGTCAAATTGTTTTGATGATTACTGCTTTGTAGTTCCTTTTGGGACCTCCATTTTGGGGATGAGGTCCAGGTCAGCCATGTTTCATTCCCTTTCTGGCTGTTTTTCTGATTCTAATGACTTTATCACTATAATTTACCTTAGACCTCTCTCCTTACCTGGGGCTTTTTCACCCTGCAATATCCTTCCATCATGCTACCCCCATTCTCTCATTAGTACATTCCTTTCAGAGCTTCTATTTTGTGGAGCATGGCCAGCTGTGTTTCATTCCCCTTCCACCTGTGCTTTTGATTCTAAGGATTTTCTACCATATTCTTTTCTTCATTAGAAGGGACAGGGATTGTCTTTCTTTTTGCTTATGTTTGTATCTTTAGTGCTTAGCACGGTGCCTGGCACATAGTAAATACTTGTTATTTACCTACCTTTCTTGTTGTTGTTTAGTCATTTCAGTTGTGTCCAACTCTTCATAACATCATTTGGGGTTTTCTTGGCAAATACTGGAATGGTTTGCCATTTCCTTCTCCAGCTCATTTTACAGATGAGGAAACTGAGGCAAGTGATCTTCTCTATTCCTGAGTGGTTTGCCCAGGGTCACACAGCTAGTAAGTGTCTGAGGCAAGATTTAAGTTCAGGAAGATGAGTCTTCCTGACTTCTGGCCCAGCACTTTATCCACTGTACCACCTGCCCATGAGGATAATACCTGTAATAATTACAGGTAGGTAGGTAGGTGATAATACCTGTGATAATTACCTCACAGGATTATTGTGAGGGTCAAATGAATTTATGTATGTAAAGATCTTTGTAATCATTAAAACAATATATAAGTTTCAGTTATTGTCATCATTATCATTATCATCCTAGAAAACATAAATAGCCCTACAGGTTTTATAAGGTTGAAAGAATAAGGTAATATGATCAAGCATTCAAACAAGAAGAATTCATTGAACTCCTACTATGTATGAGACACTGTTATGCCTTGAATGAAACAATCCTCACTCACAAGAAAGAAAAAAAAAGAGGAAGGAAGGCAAAAAAAATAAAAATAGAGGGGAAGTCAGGGCAAACAGAATGCAGAAAGGAAATAGAGAATGGCACTGGCAAGGCTGGTCAACAGAGAGCTTGCCATCACCCTGGCTTCTCTCAGTTAGAAAGGGATTCTATAGCTCTGAGTCATTTGGTAATGGAGACTTATAGAAGGAACTTGTTCCTTGAAGGCAGGGGTGGGGAACCTGTGACCTCAAGACCACTTGGCCCTCCCGGTCCATTAATTAAATCCACACTTCACAGAACAACTTCCTTTAATAAAAGGATTTGTTTTGTAAAATTTGGATTTAGTCAAAAGGCTACACCCAAGGACCTAGAAAGTCACAGGTGGTCTTAAGGCCTAATGTTTCCCATCCCTGCCTTCAGGTTTTCCTTCTGTAGGAAGCTAAGATGCCTCCGTGCATGTGAGTGACATTTAGCTGACTGCTCTGAGACACCCTGTTCTTTCTGGCCAAAGGCTATGAAGTAACAAGTTATTGAGCAACAAGTTATCAACAGAAGAAACAAAAAAACTTATCCCTAGGATTTGGTAACATTTATCCTTCTAGGAACTGAGGAATGGAGGGTGTATCAACAGGGCCCCAGTTCGTTAAGCCCTGTGTAGGAAAGATGTCAGGCTTCTATTTTTGACACATTCCTCTCCTTCCCTCCTGTCTTTCTCATCTTCTTAGTAACATGTCCTTTCTTTTCTTCTCATTTTTTCAAATCCAGATGGAATTTTCCATTTATGTTGCACACTGCTTATCTCCTTCGCTTCCAAAAAGCACTAATGATAAATCCAATTTTGAAAAGGTGTAGAGGTTGAGCAACTAATGGGGCCTGGTAAGGAGTGTCTTCTTCAGCTAGCTACTTCATAAAACTGGAAGCCCTAGTTTTTACTTTGACAGTGGTTATGAGGGGAATAAAAATAAACTCTATTTGAAAAGTTGGAAGCATTCCATGGTGGCAGGGCAGCTGTTGACCTTCTGAACTGAATTTTTTTCTTTGCCATTTGTGAGCACAAATGAGATCTCCTGCTTCTGCAGTATAGTTCTAGACATTGTAGATATTGGATGGGTTTTTGTTAGGATGGAAGGGTGTCAGTGACTACCCTAGTTAGGGAAGGCAATAAGGACATCCCTCTACATCATCTTCATGAGTTCAAATCTGGCCTCAGACACTTACTAGCTGTGTGACTCTGGGGAGGTCACTTGACCTTGTTTGCCTCAGTTTTATCATCTGTAAAGTGAGATGGAGAAGGAAATGGCAAACCACTCCAGTATCTTTGCCAAGAAAACCCCAAATGGGGTCCCAAAGAGTTGGACACTATTGAAAATGACTGAACAATGAAACTATATCACCAGGGTTGGGGATCATGGCCAAACCTAACTATTGCTCATTACATTTTTATTAGACATTTATCATGTGGAGGTAAAGTGATATAGTGGAATAAGTCCCAGATGGTGTCAAAAGACCTTGGTTCAAATCCCAGATCCACCTCTTATAGCATGTGTGACCTTGGTCAAGTTACTCAACCTCTGCAGGCCTCAGTTTTCTCATCTGAAAAATGAGAAGTTTGAACTAGATTGCTTCTAGGATCCCCTCCAATTCTAAACCCATGATCCCTATATGTGATACTGTAAAGTTCTAGGGATATCATAGGACCCATGCTATCTATATCTCAATCTGAGAAATAATGGAGACATTTATATATTATTTTGTGCCTTGAAAAGGGCCATATAGCTGAACAAGTTGTGTTACATGATTGTGATAGAATACTATTGTGCTATTAGAAATGGCAAGCAGGATGTTTTCAGAAAAACCTGGAAAGACTTACATGAACTGATGCAAAGTGAAATGAGCAGAACCAGAAGAACATTATACACAGTAACAGCAATTGTACGATGATCAACTGTGAATGACCTAGCTATTCTCAGCAATACAGTGATCCAAGACAACTCCAAAGAACTTATGATGAAAAATGTTATCCATCCTTAGAGAAAGAACTAATAGAGTCTGAATGCAGATTGAGGCATACTTTTTTCAACTTTATTTTTCTTGTTTTTTTTTTTGTCTGAGTTTTCTTTCACAGCATGACTAATGTGGAAATATGTTGTACATGACTGCATGTATATAACCTATATCAAACTGCTTGCCTTCTTAATGAAGTGAGAGAGGAGGGAGGGAGAGAATTTGGAATTCAAAATTAAAAAAAAAGAATGTTAAAAATTGTTTTTATGTGTAATTGGGGAAAATAATATACTAAACAAATATAGTAGGAAAAGGGCCATATAAATATAATTATCATTATTTCTTTGTTTTCTCTTAAAAATGACCAGTAGCATGCTATGAAATGTTTAACAACGGGTTCTCAGGTGCTGGGTTGGGGGAGGAATGTACTCATGACACACTTTAAAGTTTAACCTATATTATTAGTATTTTTCCATCAATTTAAATCTAGACAATGAACAAAACAGTAAACCAAGCCCTGATTTATAGCACTTCCTGATTTCTGAGGTGGAAATGCTCATGCTGAAAATTGTTAAATTTTCAGCATGTCCTTTAGATAATCCTGGTATATCTTGGAGATTTTTTAATGATAGGCATTATACAATAGTGGATAGAGTACTGGACTTGGAATCAGGTAGACCTTGGTTCAAATTCTACTTTAAATGCTTATTAACTTTGTGACCCTAGACCAGACTTTTAACCTTTCTTAATCTTAGTTTCCTTCTCTGTAGAATGGGTCTAACATCTTTAACACTTAGACTAGACCTGTGATTTTATCTATAGAGAGAGCTCCCAGAAAGGAACTTTCACTTCTGTGCAGATCAGCATCTTCTCTGAAATTTATGGTCTTATCCTTTAGAAGCATTGCTCAGCTGAGCCCACATAGACTGAGGTATTTGCACCTCCTTATTCTGTACCCAGCTGTAACATATGGACTGGGTTGGTTCTAGGGAAGGCTCTTTCTGGTGGAGAGCGGGTCCTTTTCCTCATACTCATTACCTCATTAACTCCCCTCCCAATCATCCTGGGGACAATCTTATTATTATAAATTAGATTATGGTTCATAAAACAAGAGGATTCATCACAAGGTGGAATAGGGTACATGATAGGTAATATTCCTACATACAAAAAATAATGCGAACTGCAAAAGAAACATAGCACTTATTAATAGAATGATTCAAACAGAATTCAGTAAGTTATAACTACTATTACAATCCACAAAGAAGGTAGTAGTTAAAATTTATCAGAAAATGTATGTCTTGGGGCAGCTAGGTGGTGCAGTGGATAGAGCATTGGCCCTGAAGTCAGGAGGAACTGAGTTCAAACACTTGACCCTAGCTGTGTGACCCTGGGCAAGTCTTTTTAGGCATTGCCTAAAAAGAAAATGTGTGTCTTATTCTGCAACTTCAGCCCATCATCTCTCTGCCAGAAGGTAAGTAGCATGGTTTATTGTTGGTTCTCTGGAATTATGGTAGGTCATTGCACTGATTAGAGTTCTTAAGCTTTTCATAATTGTTTTTCTTCAGAATGTTGTTGCTACTATATAAATTGTTCTCATTTTGCTCAATTCATTCTGCATGAGTTCATATAAGTACGCATTTTTCTTTAACTCTTCTTTTAGTCATTTCTTACAATGCAGTAGTAAGTATTCCATTACATTCATATACCATAATTCATTTACTTATTCTCCAGTTGATTGGCACCACCCCCTCCCCTGCCCTTAGTTTTTAGTTCTTTGCTTTAAGAAAAAGAGCTACTTTAAATATTTTTGTACATATGAGTCCTTTTTCTCTTTCAGGAATAGGCATCTCTAAGACAAAGGATACACACAGGTTAGTGACTTTTTGTGTGTAGTTCCAAATTGCTTTCTGGAGTGGCTATACCTATTCACAATTCCACCAACTTTGCATTTATGTGCCTGTTTTCCCACAGTCCCTCCAATAATCATCACTTTTTTTTCATCTTTGTCAGTCTGATAGTTGTGAGGTAGAAACTCAGAGTTGCTTTAATTTCCATTTTTAGAAAAAAGTCGATATGAAAATTTGTTTTACTCAACTATGAATATTTGTTACAAGGTTCTTACCCCCACCCCACACCCACAATATAGAGGGGGTAGGCGGCAAGGAGAAGTTTTAGGGCTAGGGTTGATAAAAAGGAAAGAAAAGAAATGAAAGAAAAGGTAATTGAAGTATTTAAAAATGCACAGAAGAATAAGAAAGCCAGAAAGGATCACTCAAAATTAGGTCAGCTGTGAAAGTTACATGTTGAATTTATGTTTTGTTTTTTTTTAAATAAAAGCAATCTATACATAATAGATACTTGAAATTTCATGTATAATCATCTTTTTCCCCCCTACTAAATATATGGAAATACCAATTTTATTTCACGTTTGTTAAGTACAGATTAAAAAGGCTTTATAATGGGGCAGCTAGGTGGTGCAGAGGATAGAGCACCGGCCCTGAAGTCAGGAGGACCTGAATTCAAATACCATCTCAGACCAAACACTTGACACTTTACTGTGTGACCCTGGGCAAGTCACTTAACCCCAATTGCCTAAAGAAAAAAAAATGTAAAAAAAGAAGACTTCATAAAAACATAGTCTGCAGAACTGCTAACTAAGCATTTCGCATTCTCTCTTGCAGCTCCACTTTCAGTGTGCTCCAAAGTGAACCTCTTCTTTGAACTCGGTTGTTTCCATAGTTAATGGCTCCTGCATGTGCTGCTGCTACAACCACCCACCTGAATGGATGCCACCAGTCTGTTCCTGTGGATGCTAATGCCAGACCTCTGAATCTTTTAGCCTTCAGATGTTGGACACATTTGGCTCAGTTACTGCATGTTCAGGACA